GCTCCCCCTTCTCTCCGGGAACTCCTCAGACTCTTCTTTGGAGACAGTTCTCCTGGAACAGATAATTTTGGGAGGTACTTTTGTCAATGAAATTCTAACAGGATCCACTACTGTGCAAACCACACCATCACCAGGTGAAACCCACAGCAAGCCCCGCGGGAAACCATGCCAGGGAAAGAGCAGAGAGTGGGCCAGGCACGTCCACCAACCGCTTTGAGCTGAAGGAGGGGTGTCTAGGACACGGGCTGAAGAGCTAACTTCCCATGGTGGTGGAAAATTCCTGACACTCATCACAGAGGGCGTTCAAGAGGCTGCAACTATAAATAAGCTTCGAGAGGATATAAAGTCATGGATCGACAGTGAGTTTCACCAAGGGAAACCAGGCTGTCCGTGACCCCACAAGGCCCCTTCCATGCCACTGTCACATGGTAGACCAGGATCTGACCCAACACGGCTTTAAAAAATCTTTTCTTCTAAAGCATGAAAATGATCCCCAATTCACCGTGGCACACTAAATCCATGAGAATCTCAAGGCCCAGAACACTCTGCCTCAGCAAGGGCTAATGCTCCCGTTGGCAGCTTCTGTGTGACAAAGTGCTCATGGTAGAGTCTCCTACTGGGGCCCTGGGCCCAGAGGCTGGCTAGGAAGTGGGGCCACTGCACTCCCTGGCACCCTGAAGGGAACAGCCGTGTCCTAGGTGGTGTCCTGTTTCTGCTTGCCCAGCTGACCCTCTGGGTCTTCCCCCTGCCTTCCTTGTCCACCTACACATTCCAGACGACTCGAGGTATCCTTGTGTTTTTATTTCCTGTCCTGGAGAATGTGTCTGGAGGGGAAGAGCCTTCTAATATAAAGACACTAACCCAAAACGGAGCTGGGGAGTGGGCTGGGGGACTGCTCCACGGTGCAGCGCTTGCCAAGCAGGCAGAACCTGGGTTCCTCCCCAGCACAACAAACAAAATCAAAAACGAAGAATAACTAGAAGCTAAGGGGCAGGACTCGGGAGCAGGCTTTCACCAATCAAAACGTCTTTGCTGGGGCTGGGGCTGGGGCTCAGTGGTAGAGCACTTGCCTAGCACAGGTGAGCAATGGGGTTCGATCCTCAGCACCATATACGAAAATAAATAAAATAAAGTTATTTTAAAAATTAAAAAAAAAAAGACTTTGCCTTTGAAGTTGCCTGAGCACGGGGCTGAGCTGGTCATGAGCTGTCCAGGAAAGCTAAGTTCCAAGCCCCACTGTAATCCGCCCTGCTTCCGTTGTCTTGCTGCAGCCACATTCTGATGTCGCCCTTAAACTATTTTTAGAAACAACCCTTCTTCACAATGAGGAGCAGACATTTACATGAAATGTATTCAAAACTTTGCCCACACATGGAATGCCTTTCAAAGGTGCCTTCCCCAGGCACACCCCTGTGGCACACGGCTTCATTCCTGGCCAGAACTCGGGACTCCTGCCAGTTTAATAAGACTCAATGAGAAAGACTCCTGGCAAGAGCCACCTGGGAATTTCCCAGGCCCCTGGAATGTGTGTGTTATTTCAGATTCCAAAAACAAAAGTGCACAGCAATGACATCAGTTTCTCCGCCACAGACTGCATGTGCATTTCACACCCCCCACCCCCACCCCACCCCTGCTTTGCTTCCTGCTAAGCCCAGAGCTTTGAGACCACAGGCACATTTTATTTGTGGTCCCAAATAAGAAAAAAAAATGATAAAGGAATGATTTGGGAGTCTCCTGTGTTCCACTCTGCGGTAGTGCCTCTGTCCTTCTCCTTGGAACTCCTTCCTCATCTGCTTTTTCTAATACAACCCCCATCAGAAGCAAAAAAGTAGGTTTTTCACAAAGGCTGCCTTCCATTCACACTCTTTTGTGCTGGGGATCCAACGGGGACATGTCGGGCACAGACTTTACCCCTGAGTTGCCCCGGCCCAGCTGCGCTGTTTTCTGCCTCCATATAACTCTAGGGTGCAACTGAGCACCAGGAGACAGACGCCAGGCTTCTAGGATCCTTTTCTGCGGAAGGCTCCTGCCTGGGCTTGGACTGGATGACATCTAAGTAAGGCCTCCCTCCCAGGCCGCGCACCGTGGAAAAGAGGTCACAGGAAGAGAGCCATGCAACACGGTGACTTTTCCAGACATGCCAGCTCTGTGTTCATGGGTCGACTTGGAGGAATGAAGTATCCCTCTCCAAGCCACCTCTCTAAGCCACTTCTGCACCCCACTTAGGGACACACAGGCCATCTCCCCTGACAGGGTCTCCAACTCATGCATCCTGGAAACTCCAGTAGTTCTGGCTGGTGGCCTCCACTTCCAGCTCCCCCCAACCCCAACTCTCCCTGTGCCAGTCATGGGCAAGAGTCACTGGTGAGGGCCTCCTGGGCACAGTGCATGCTACTCCAGGGCCACTGTCACAGAATGGAAGGTGTCTTGTTCTTCATAACTCACACTGCACGGAATGAGGTCTCAAACTTCCACCATCACCGCAGAAAGAAGGAATCCGTCACCCTCTTCCCCATCCAGAAAATCTCCCAGGCTGTTGGGGAAGGGATGGAGGGGAAGCCAAGGAGAGACCGCCTTGTTCTGTGGTGAGCGGCTTGGTGTCACCACTAAAAGTCTTTTGTAGTCCTGTTGTTTAGGAAGAAGCAGCAGGAGCCATAGGACACATTTAGGATGAACATCAACAATGGCTTTCTAGAAAGTTCTTTCATGGACACCTGAAATATTTCTACTCCACACATCTCTGGGTTTTCTTATGGATCAGACTACCCAGCAGATAGGTAGAAAGAGTGGTTTCTGACCACTTAAGGCTGAGGAACTGTATTTTAAAGGGAAAACATTTTGTACATCCCCATACGATAGTAGTTATATTTTGTATCTTTTGATTATTGAGAAAACAGTTAGAAAAGGCTATCATGAATTCAGTAATGGTTTTAACTGCATTTATGTTTGATTAGTCACAAACCGACGACAGGATCCCCGTGCACTGGAAGACCTGTCCTGGGACTCCCCTTTTATGAATCCTAGAAACCAAAATTCTACTAAATAATCCCAAAGGAATTTTAAACTGACACTTTCAAGGGGGAAAAAAAAAAGGCATAATTATTCATTGATCGTATTCTTCCTTTCATGCCACCTATGTTCCTGTTACTGCATCAAACAACATAACGGATGCCAACCCAACAGGTTTCCCACCACTTTGTGTTGTGTAACCACCGACATACAGTCAATAAAAAAAGATACTAATGAATCGCAACAGCCACTGATCCTGGGGCCTATTAGAGTCTAATAAAAACCCACAAGATCCCTGTGACGCCGAATGAAAAAAATCACCATGGGAACTGGGAAGAGGGAAAAAGACGTTTGTTAGCAATCACATAAAATTACCCAGAGCAGTGCTCCCTCCCAGCTACCCACAAAAACACTCCTCGAGGCTGGAACATAAATAGATGTCAACAACCAGATTCCTCCATGTACCGCCTGCAGGAAGAGGAACGACAGGGGCCCCGAGTGCGGAGGGGGGAGGGCAGCAGCCAGCCCGCTGCGCCCTGTCTTCCTGCAATGCCAGTCCGGCCAGACACACTGGTGAGACTTCCGTGAGTTGACTTTCTCAAGGGTTGTGCTTTACTTTGTCCAAATTCGCTCCTCCTTTCTCCTAGGACATAGAGAAGTCAGGAAACCTCGGCTGCTACGGGGCTCAGGCAGAGGGCCCCTGTCTCAGCGCTGCCGGGGGTTGGGAGGGTGACTGGGACTGCCGGGGACCATGTGGAGCAACTGAAACCAGAACACAGAACCCAAGCAGCAGCTACCACCCAGTCAAATCCCTAGGAGATCCCAATGCCTGGGTTGATCTCCTTCCAGGCATGGTTTTTGACAGGAATGTCACCTACCAGCAGTTGACAGTAAAACACATTGCTGTAATTTCAGGCTTATAGAAAAACCAGTGATGTCACACTTAAATGAGGGAGGAAGATTCAGGGACTATTGTGACGGTGCTATGAAAATTCATGTATTCGCACTTGCTGAAAATGACAGGTACGGAGGATAGGGCAGGCTTTATCACCCATTTAAAAACATGACAGGCAGGTCTCCCTAGGAATGCTTAGCACACATGGCCAGTTTCATCTTCCAGTTCCACAAAATAACCTTCCAACATGGCCTTGACTGATCCGATGAATGAAACAGATCTTACAAATAACGACTCATGTTCCCACCCTTGGGCCCCAGCACAGGCTCTGTGCAACACTTCTGTCTGCTATGGCCAGACACATGACACTCCTAGGTCTAATCCATGTCCCAGTAAACACCTGTCCTCTGAATCCCACTCTGTGGCCCACCAGGCACCAAGGGAGTGGACATGGCCACGCAGCCTTCACCAGCAGGTGACACAGAGTTACCAGTGGTGACGTTACTTCATGGTGGTGTAAAGTAGACGGAAATCAAATGGTTCAGTGAAGGCTCTAATTGATGGCAAAACACCTCCTCCTAGGGCAAATTCCCAAACAGTTGAAAAGAAGAAAATCGACCCACAGTGGACGACAAGGATCAGATCCTTTCTCCACGCACACTGTATTCCCAAGAGGCATCAACTGCCAGGGAGGGAAATGATAATCCTTGGCCTTTATTCAGTTCTTGGCAGTTTTCAAAGTGCACTCAAACAGATCTCGTCAGGCAAAGCCCTGACAGCTCTGGGCGTGGCTTTGGGCAGCTGTCACCCTTCCCACTTTGCAGAATCCAAGGCTCCCTGCAGTAGGTCACCTGCCCACAGACGTTAACTTGGGCGAGCCTGGGCTAAGGCCAGGCCTGGGTTCTCTTCCCACCACTTTCATGACAGGATGGGCCAGGACAGGGCCAGCTGGACCACAGACTCTGTGACTGGCATCTGCATAGGCAAACCACCTGAAAAGATCAGGAGAGTGTTTAAGGCCTTTAGAATAGACCACAACATCCAGGGGTGAAGAGGGCACATCAGGGGGGCTGTCTGCTCCACCCTGCTCACTCACCCTCCTGTGGATCCAAGCCTCACGTTCTGGCAACTTCCTGAGGGGCAGAGGTCAGGAAGAGCAGCCCAGCAGAGGCCGCCGTGGAAGGAGAGGCAGAGGGCGGTTTTCCTAACAGCGCAGCAACCTGCAAACACAGAGGAACACCAGCCAAACCAAACCATCACCCCAAAAAAGCAAATCTCCCATCTCCTCGGCTCACTCTCCTCTCCCTACAGTCAACTCTCCTCTTTCCCCCAGAGGCAGGGACTGGTCCAGGGCTGCTATCAAAGGAGGTCATTTGACACCGAGATGAGTGCAGGAGGGCCCTGCTCAGACACACAATAGCCAACATGTTTCTTTCTCTGATTTCCTTTTGAAGCTAAGGGTTTATCCGAGGGAAAATGCTGTGTTGTTGTCATTTTCTTTCTAACAAGAGCCGCTGGTATCCCAGCCGACTCTAAGAAAGATCACACCTGCTCCTCAGGAAGAAAATGGTAGTGTGCCCCAAGAAGGCGAGGCCTGTGGACAGGGCAGGCCCCGTCGGGAAAAGAAAATAAAACCAAAGCAAGGCCCCCAGCAGCCAGCCTCCACCTGGGTCCTCCAGATCCCAAGAAGCCCTCTGCAGACCCAAGAGATTTCACAAGCCATTTGCCTGCTTCACTGGAATGTGGGAGACGGTGGTGGCCAGGCACGTTGTCCCCACAGGAAGCCCGGGGCTGACGCCTCCCTCCTAGGCCAGCACGCTTCTCAGCCTTACTTCTGTCTTCTTCAGTGCCAGAGCCTTCTGCCATAAGACGAGGTGACTCATCCCTGTGACCACCTACGGCTGGAATGCCACTGCAGCCAGGGGCACCGTGCCTCTCCAGGAAGATGAGACGGACTTCAGCAGGCAGCCTCGGGAACCCGGGTTCTCCTGGGTCCTGCCAAGGCTTCCAGATCTTCAGAAAGCGAAGCTACTGCAGGAAACGCCCTGTCTGTTCACGCCTAGGAGCCTTTTGCTGCCTTTTGGAGTGTGCGGGTGGCACGTCTGGGACACATGAGGCCAGGTGCACAGCTAGAGAAAGAGCTTGTGATGAGGGAGAGGCTTGAAATGGTGACACCAAACTGAGGACCATTTTCAGCCCAGAGGAACCAACGGCATCATTCCCAGGGCCATCAAAGGCACTCACAAAGGGTTGCTTTCTGCTCTGACAGAAATCAATATTGTACTTGAGCCGTGACGCAGCTCGCACATGATACCAGCATCAAATACGGCATTATCAAAGGAAGGACCAGCTGGGCCTGTAGGTTAAGGAACTCCATTAATACAGAGAAAACTCAAAATATTCAGAGACTTTCTAATGTGATGGAAGAAAAATAGGAGCATTTATCTCCACTTGCTTTTCAATTGTGTTTGTTCGTGTTTAAAGATGCATTAAGGCATTTTAAAAATCGGTAATATTTTATTGCATTTTTCTTTTTTGGATAGACATATTTCATTGCCAGGAATCTTCTGAAATTAAAGAGCACAACATGTTTCCAGAAAGTATTTAGAGAGATAACAGAGATTTACTCTTGGATGTTAAAAGTGCATTCAAAAATAGCAAGGACGGAGGACATGCCAGGGGAACATAAGTAGAGAGTCCTTAAAGAATAGCTGGTGCCTATTTTTTTTTTTAGCTTTATTTCTTTGTCCCTCCACCATTCCAGGTGGTTTAAATGCAGATATGATGGTTGGAGTTGGAGCATATCATCTTGGATTATGAGGTCACCTTGAAAATGTAGGCCAATTACAGCTCTTTTTCTTTTTTCTTTTTTTTTTTTTTTTTTTTTAAGTCTGTGGCCTTGGGGACTCTGTGAAACAGTACTGCCACACCAATCCTAGAGTGTGCGAGAAATGAACATCTGTTCCGTCTAAGCAAATGATGTTTTTCTATTGTTCACGGTCAAATCTTAACCCAAGTTATACATTCCCCTCCCTAAAGTCTTTGAGATAGGGATAAGGTCTGGAACAAAACAGCTACCAACGAACAGACAGGATTATTTTCAGAGTCAGAATAGAAAAGAATGCATTGACCACCAGAAGTGAGACAGACCCAGGTATACAGTGGAGTCATCCACGGGCCAACAAAAGATGATGGCCTTAGAATGAGTGAGGCTCCATGGAAGTTCAGGTGGGCCCTCTAGTCACACAGCTGGTCTTTTGAGGAAAGATGGGGTACCTCTGGCGTTGAGCACTGCGTCTGGATACAGAGGCTGTGCCACAAAATCTCACTGAAGGGGTGAAATTGAAGCCACAGATGTTCCCCAAGTTCTCACTGAATGAGTGATAATCAAGTCAAGGAGAGCGAGTCAGTCTAGCCCAGGGGTCCAATTATCAGTGGTCCTTTCTCCTATAGAAGAACACAGTGCAACATGAAAGACCGAGACGGAGGGGAAATGGGCCTGAGAAACTGAAGCCTCTGATGGGTGGGGTAAGCGGTGGCGGCCCACCCCTCAGCCAGAGAGCAGAAAAGTGACTGGCTCACAGGAATTTAAAGCTTTATCCTGTGAAATAGGAGAAGAGAAGATTTCAGACCACCAAGGTTTCTGTATATGGATGCCATCATTCAGGTCTCCTAAAGCTTGAAAATAAAAGATCAACACAGAGAACGTCTTTTGAATCTAAAGAGCACAGATGAAAAGAAGCATCCCTTTGGGATTCCTGTCTGAAGAGAATGTCCCCAGGAACCTGCCAATGCCAAGATCAATAACAGCCACCATTATCCTACATAAGACCCGCTCATAACGGGAGCTTTGTAGGGCAGGAGATTTCCAGGATGTGAAAGACAGAACTCGGCCAGCAGCGGGGAGGGGGCAGAGAATGGCGTCTCACTCTCCTAGAAGGGCCAGCCGCCGCTTCCGTCTTCCCACCTTGTTGTATGAGATTTGTCAAGCTTCCTTCCTCCTTTCAATTTAAGTGATAAAAATCTAAGTCCAAATTTCTTTGACACTACAGAAAATTGAGGTTTTATTAAGTTCTACTGAAAATACCAAATTACAGAGCTGTATGGAGCATGGATGCCACTCTATTTAAATATTAGCATACAGCCCTGAATGTTTAAAAAAAAAAAATTCCAGAATTCTGTTGGGCAACTTCCACACCAGAACATGCACAACGCACTTCCTCCTGCCTCTCGGAGGTCACTGCTTGGAGATAGAGGCCTTTCAGCCAAGGCATGCTGTTTCAGGTTGCAGGTGGGTAAACCAGTGTTTCCCAAAGGGTGACTCCCTCACCCTCTGGGTGGTTTAAATGCAGACATAATGGTTGAAGTTGGTACACAGACAGACTGAAGACCTTTCAACTGAGAGCATTTGCAAAAAAAAAAATCCTACACACCTTAGGAAATGAAGAATGCAGGTGGTAAATGGTTTGGAAATCCTGGTTGAACCCGAGTCAGAGTCTGTCCCCTCCAAGGTCAAATCTGGGTGGAAGGAGGGACTGTAGGATTCCCTCACTGTGCCTCAGAGCTCTCTGTCCAGGGCCAGTACTGCCACGAAGCTGGTCCAGTACCAGGGCCAACCCAACTTTCTGGACTACTCGTCAGAGCTCACAGGACCCTGGGACTGTCAGCGTCTTTCACCAAGACAGAGAGCACCAGGAACCCCACTCGTTCCTTGAGACCTCAGCAGGCACTTCCTGTTCTCTTACCCTGATTTCTTGCTGCTGCTCAAAAGTATATGCATCTTCAATAATTAACATTCAAGAAACAAGCCTTCCAGAAAATGTGTGGACATTTGTTTCTTAATTTCTGCATGATTTTTATTACCCTAAAATATTAACTTGATTTACCTGAATCAAAGGCTCTCTTGTCCTATAATTCATTATTCGCCTATTCATTGATTCATACATTTGTTTTTAGCAAATACTTATTCGATAAGTATTAATATATGTTGATTGAAGAGAGGACCTACTATGTGCCAGACCCTGTGCAATGACCTGGGGATGATACGCTGCCCTCATGGAGCTCGGAGTCCACACAATGGGATGCCTCTGCTCATGATGCCAATGTGCAGATGCCAATCTCACCTTGCCCTGTCCTAGAAAACAATTGCAAGGTGGAGAATAGATAAGGTCATTATTCTTCCATTTGCCAATTTTCTAAACACCTCAAATATGTTATTATTTCTGATATTGACCTATGCTAAATTTATCGAAGGAAGATGCACCGAGCATTAGTATTTGTAAGCCTTGAAGAAGGTCAAATCACATCAAAGGTTAATTGGCTTTGATGGAAGCACCAAGTGTGGTGTAAACTCCTAGTTCAGCCAGCTCAACGTCCCACCACAACAAGAGGTCAGATCTCATCCGTAAAGGATGCCGTCAAACTCCACAGCACACGCAGACACAAGGCCAGATTTTTTACATCAAAATTTTTCCCATGCTTGGGAAAAATTAAATAAAAACACAAATGTTTTTAAAATAAGAGATCCATGATATTGTAAGAAATTAAAATTGGGACAAATGAAACACCACAGTAACAGGTTTATGGCTTGAGGAAACTTGACTCAGACACCTTCTTAGGTTTTAGGATATTTGCAGGCAGCACAAGCTACTTGTACCTTAATTCTCTGAACACCTGCCTCACCTGGCAGATATTGATCCTTTGCAGACCTGAGCCCAGGTTCCAGGTGCGAGGTGAGGCAATTGTTAAAAGGCATCAACAGAACTGCAGTAAATATGTGATGTTGTTACAGATGGTTTAGTTTAGACTTACTTTTTGAGGGAGGACAGAGCTGATTCATTCCTGGTCTCTTTAGTTTTAGAACCTTTAGTTTGCAAAGAAAACATTGAAACAAAAGTAAAGAAAGAGAACACCAACTGTTTGAGAATTTCTGAAGTCCAAGAAGCAATTTAATAAAATGACATCTTAGCTCAGTGTTTCATGAGTTCTGAACCGCTCCTCTTCAAAGACATTTATTTGCTAATGTTTATAAATATTTCTCCAAGTTGTTACCCTGTGGTCTCCCAAGCACCGGAAGATAAGTCTCCTGATGTGTTACAGGGAAATCTGCAAATTAGGCCTGAGAAATACCATAAATGGGAAGGTCGCTTAATCTCATCCTTCAGTCCCTAGCACAGTCCTCAAGGAGATGGAAAGCAGACACCATGGCTGTACCTAAGTTGTGGTCACACTGATACACCTCTTGGGCTATGCCACAGACTGTTGGGTGCTTTGCCTGGTCAACTCCCCTTAGTCCCCCAAACAGTCCTATGAGGCACATGAGGTGAGGATATCAGGCTGAACCTGAACCTGCTCAGGGTCACGAGGTGAAAAAGTGGAAAAGCTTCCAGTTCAAACCATGAATCTGCGGGACTGGAAGCCCATCAAGGTTGTAGCTTGCCGAGGTTCCTGTTTGAGTGAATGTTGCCATCAGTAAGTCGGAAGGAATCCTGGCACCATCGGATTCCACCTGGGGAAGCCTGGTTCATGCATCCCAAAGACTAGGAGAAAAACTCAAAGCATTAAAATCGAGCTCAAGAGAGTGACAAGCTAGGGACCACACGTCCTCCAATTCCATCCATATAAAATTCTAGCAAAAGCCAAACTGCAGTGACTGCGGATCGAAGGTTGCCAGGAGCCAAAAGGGAAGGGTGGCTTTAAGGGCTTCAGAGATGATGGCAGGGGACAGAAGCTCCTCGTAGACGTGTGGTGAGGCTGTCCCAACTGAACACATGGTCAAGTTCACCTGACTGCAGACTTACAAGGCGTGAACTCTATGTCGTGTAAATTATACCTCAATAAATCTGATTTTTTTTTTCAAGTGGGCTTAAAAGGGAGTGGAATAATATATGATATTCTCTTTCTCTTTTTGTTTGATGCTCAGTCTATGATTGGTGGAAAACTTGAATGTATCTCATGAACCAAAGTCTTTCATGGGTTCACCAGGCTTCCTCTGGGCCATCTCCTTTCTTCACCAACAAAACACTGCCCCACAGGAAATGCATCTTTCTTTGAAGTTCTACCCAGCAGTCAGCCAATGCCTGTAACTATTTATGACAAGAGCAGGGCTCTGGGTGTCTGGGAGGTGCAACTCTGTGTGGGGAGGCAAGCCGTCAACGTCAAATGACTTTCCCTCTTAGCCTAGCCCTTTTGCTACAGAGCTGTGTGATCTTGGGCA